ATTTGTTTTTAAATTATAATTACAAAAAACGCCAATTAAAATTGATTTAAATTTTCGTTTGTGTAAATTACATAAAATTATTAGTTAGATTTTTTTTAAATGCAAATAATTGCAAAACAATGCAAAGAACAATAAATTATATTAATTTTCTTAAATAAATCACTATCACACACACACAAACACACCCCTTTACATATTGTACAAACACACCACTATCTTGTAAAATAATTAAAACTAAATTAAATAACCAAAACAAAAAAACCAAACAAAACAAAAACTATGTCGCTCAACGGCAGAGAAGCCGATACCCCATCATCGCATCAATGGCAGTTGGAGAGCAATAACAATGACCTTCGCAAAGATACCTCCTTGACAGCGCCGCAGCCGCAGCTTGCCAAACAAACAACCCCGCTGGCGGCCTCAACGGCGGCGTTCGCAGCAGCAGCCGACACAGCAGAAACGACGACAACAACAACAACCAACCTAGATGCACATTTCCCCAGTCTGACTAGCAACAATGGCAGTGATAATCATAGTTACAGCAACAATAGTCTGAGTAGACGATCGCTAGATGCGCACCATACACTAGACATACAAGAACAGCAACCACCATACGACAACAAAAACAACAACAACAGTAGTAGTAATAAAACCCCAACAACACCCACAAAAGCATTAAACTCCACACCCCATGAATACACCAGCGGCAATGGTGTGCCACATGGTCATTATCGTTATACTCTGCCGCCACTAACAACCAACAACAATAAACAACAGACAAATAATTACACCAACAACATACCCACCATACAGCATCAACAATCGCAGGATGATAATTTTAAATTGTTTACAATTTATGGAAATGGTGAGTTAGAAAGAAGTCTCATTCATGCTCTCTCTCTCTCTCTCCCTTGTATTGTTTTGTTTATCTTGTTCTTCTTCGTAGACGAACATTTTTTTAAATGTATTTATTGTTGTTAACTGTTACAAACAATTTATTTTTTCTTAATGAGAAAATGGTTGTAAAAGAAACCTTATTTCACACTTTGATGACAAAGAGTTGAGAATGTTGGTAATATTGTTGTTAATTCTTTTCGTTTTCAACTCCACTGTATACCCCACTTTAATTACCCACATTTTACTCTCTTTTAGTACAAAATTTGTTTTGTATATTTATGCAATTTGTATTTAATAACACAATGAACTGTTTCAAGTAACCAACAACATGAAATTGGCGAGAAAGAACTCTGTGGGGAATCTAATCATCTGAAAGATGACAATTGACAGCTCTCTGATTGTTTCTCTACACTCACAGTGTAGAGACATTTATTATTATTTTTTTGTTTTTTAAATGAATGTAGTTATTTAAATTAGTTATTAACAACAATCATTTAAAATACAATTAGAAATTGGTAGGAATTACTTTAAAAGAGAGTCTAATAAGAAATATGCCATCGTTGAGATTACTCTCTGTTCTCATTGGAGGGAAATCATCAACAACAGAAATTGGCGGGAATTATAACGGAGTGCCCAATAATGAAGTTGGCATGACATGAATATGTGACATTAGTCAAATTGCTGCATATATAGAGCGGCCTGGCCACATATCAATTTAAATGTAACGATTTTCTTGCATACGTAATTAAAGAATACTGAAATATTAGAATTGAAAGAAAACACATTGATATTTCAGCTAGACAATTTATGCTCTCTGAAAGTGTCTCGTAATTAATTTCATAGGACTGGGCCTTGTATCAAATTGGACTAGACAACCAAAATATTAATTTTGTCGATTTACTTTGTAATAATGAATTTGTTATATGCGACATTTGTCACATTGTTGCATATGAGTTTATATAAGCGGCCAGGCCACATATCGAATTACTATAAGGTATTCTTTTTTAATTAAAAAAATTAAATTAAAATGATCGTTTCATCATATTATTAAGACATAAGGTCACACATTTAATTATTTTTTTATAGGTTATCAAGTTGCTAAGCAACTTATTAAATTAAAAAAAAAATATATTTTTATTCACAAAAAATATTAAGCGGACTTCATAATTCCGACTATAAATTGTGATTTATAGCCATTTAATTATGTTTAAAATATTAGCATGCTAATTTTACTATTTGGTTCGTTTTCCAGTCTTTTCCGACTTCCTTTCAGAAATAAAAATACATTTTTCGAATAAAAAGTATTTGTTTTTTGTTACTCCCTCGTTTGTTTTTATAAAACTTTGACGTTTGCCATGTGAAAATTGTTCGAATTGAACTAAAATGGCACAAGTGAACTAGTGCCATTTTGTGAATCGGTCAATTGAACTAGTTTATTTTCCTTGTCCCAAATGTTTATTACAAAATCACTTCTGAATATATCTGCATCAGATATTATGTTATATGTCTAACCCGAATCTATTACTTTTTTACACAACTTCTTGTTGCATATAAATCCCGAATTTAGGAAAAGATTTATTACAATCTGAAATCGAAAGGAAACATTTTTTTTATTAAAACGTGTTTGATTGAAACATAGAAGCCTTGAAAACTCCGATTCTTGAGGCAAGTTTTCCATCAGCTGATATTTGTAAGTATTTGTAAATAAATATCAGCTGACTGACAACTTTACATAATTTCAATAGTAGTTTAAACATAATCTAAATGTTATTTACGTAAAACATCTTCTACGTAAGTCTCAATCGACATGAAAGTGTTTTTAGAATTACCAAATCCAAATGTCAATGCCATAGTATTATATTTGACATAAAATCCACTGGATTTGTGAACATGATTAAGGTGACGTATACGCTATGAAATTGGCATTTGAAATCGAGTAGATTGACACTTTCTAACATAGAAGGAAGATAGTCATGCGTGTTTTATAGAGGTTTCAAAGCATTTCAAAAAAAAAGTAAACATTGGGTAGTTTCACATGATGACAATGATGGGTCTAAATGATGGCCTGGCCACACATCAAATTAAAAACTCGACAATCAGTAATTGTGTTATATGAAGAGAGGGTATGACTTCTACGCAAAGAATGCATGGAAATAAATCCAGATTTCCCATTTTATAGAATATGAACATAAGTAAACTATTGTTATCACTTTAAAATGTTTTGGAATATTTTCAAAATATAAATGACTATATAAAATTAACCTCCTGTATGAAACTATTGAATTCTTCGTTCTACATCAAATGTTTTTGATTTATTTCCTAAATTATCATCCGATGATAGTCCACGTGTAGCTGTCTTTATTTTGATGACTAATCATTATACTACTAAATTCCAATATTTGTTTTCTTTTTGTCCCCACTTGAGTCCCATGGACTTTCCAAACGTAAGCGTATTGAAAAAGAAACATTATCTATATAGTATTTTCTGAAAAAAAACATTAACTGCTAATCAATTTCTTCGAAACAAAAAATTTCAATATCAAATCCGAAAGAAGACCATACAATATAATCGATTTATTTTAAGATTTCTCGCCTTGTATTTCTACTATTTTCTGAAGATTATCTTCCATGGAATAAATATTTTAGTAATCACAAAAAAAAATAAAATTTTCAAGTGCGCCTTATCAATGTATATAATTATACATATATGTATAAATGAAAGCAAACTGTTAATATTGATAAGCTATAATAATCTGATTTCCAAATGTGATGATATTCATACGATGATTTAAATCCAAAAAATAGTTTTGTCAAAAGGGGAAACAAATCAAAATCGCAATAGTGAGTATTTTGGTTTAACGGAGATTAGGATTATCATAGACAGACTGAGACGTCACGGTGTTGTGGCAGAGATGGAAAGTTTCTGTTTCTAGCTTGTTAAGTACTGTTGTACTTTTTTAATGAAATCGTTTAATTTTATGAAAACTCGTTTTATGTAAACATAACATTAAGTGGCACACCCAGTAACAGTTTGGAATGCTACTATTATCAAAATGTTTGTTCCATTTACTTGAGATCGAGATAATTTCAAATGCAACACTGTTTTCGTACCAAAAAAACGAATATGAAAACATCAATCAGCTGACTGACAAATTCATATCATTTTTAAACTAGTATAAATGGCCTGAATTAATTGGATCGATTAACAAATCGTGTAGCTTAATAAATATGAAATCTATTGGATTTATTCAAAACTAGAAGGAAGAAACTCATGCGTGTTTTATGGGCTTTGAGGTCATTTCTACAAAACGATATTTTTGGCGGGAAAACATAAACATTAGGTTGCTTCACATGATAAGTTTTATATGTAATTATGGGGATTCAGTCTGTATTATGTTAAAAAAAAATTAATGTGAGTTTAGATTTACGAAATCCACTCGATCTCAAATGTCAATTCCATTTGTTAAAGTGGCGTATACCCTATGAAATTGACATTTGAGATCGAGTGGATTTAGTATTCTAAACGTGTTCTTAAACTTTAAAAATAAACATCATAAAATTTAAAACAAATTGTATTTCAACAAATATTATAAAAAATATATAAAATTTACATTTAAATAAAAAAATATTGAAACAAACGACGCAACTATTTCAATGACTTTTGTGCATACGTTTTTTTCGATTCACCAACAAAATCACTTCCATTATTATCATCATTAATCTTAACAAAAAATCATTCTTTCATTATTCATAATTTATATATTTTTTAAATGCTTTATTTTGTTCTAATACACTAATTGATATCCACAGACCACAAAAAAGAACACAATCAGCATGTTGTTTTGGATTTCACTTGAAAAAATGTGTGATTTACCGAAATTTTGTTAGAAAACAATTTATCTTATTTATAAAAATAACATATCTGTGTATGTGTGGCTTATCTGTAGTCAAAAATTGTTAACACTTTTTGTTATGTAATTGTTCTTAAAATTTGTGTTGAAATATATCGATTTTTTTAAATATTTTAAATAAACAATTAAAAATATTTACTAACTCATGTTTATTTTTATTATTTTTTTCTTCTTCCTCTTCGAAAATATTAGACACCGACAATGACAAATTGTCCGGTTTACCACATTCGACAACCGGTTCATTAAGCTCAATCATCACGACGTCCATAGCATCCTCAGAACCTGATCCTGGAGCGGGCGGCGGCGGTGGTGGTGGCAATGGTGGTCCCGGCAGCCTCGGTCATGATGGCCAAAGTAGTGTGGATGAGAAAATGGCCCTCAATCGACCGGGAATTAAACAGGAAAAATGGACAACGATTTTAATACAGGTTTCAATACCATTCTTTTTGGCTGGTATTGGTACAATTGGAGCTGGTATTATATTGGGCAGAGTAGAGGTGAGTACAAAAAGTATATATTTATTTTGTATAAAGAAAGATTTAGGGAAGAAGATCTAACAAATTAATAGTCGTTACTTTCAATACATTATTTAAAACATGCTTGATGTAAACACTGTCTGCTTAAACCATGTGTTTTATACAAATATTGTTTATTAAGTACATAATTTATTAAAACCAAACATGAATCGCGTTTAGGCTATGCCTTCTTAAACGATTTGTAAACCGAGGTGTATAGAATAGTATGAAAATGATGATATAAAGTTGTCAGTCAGCTGATAATAAGGCTACTTTTAGACTATTAAATTCATTTGGTCTCAAATGTCAATTCCATTGCGTATACGTCACGTTAATCCTGTTCACAAATCCCGTGGATTATATTTGACGTTTTCACATTTAGGAAAAGCGCTCCAATTTCTGATGCAAAACTAGAGTTGCATTTTGAAATTACTAAAAAAAAAGATATATATTTTTTAAATAATTTATTGAATGTATAACACGTCCATAGTACTGGATCATATGCCTTTTCTAAAATATTGCATAACCAAATTGCAAAGTGGCTCTCTTTTATGAAACTTTTAGGAAAAGCGCTCAATTTTTTCGTGCAAAACCAGTGTTGTATTTTTAAATATTAAAAAATATATATAATTTTTGAAATAAATTATCGGATTAGTAATTTCCGTTCGTAATGACTAACTACAAAACCACAACCAAAGTGACGTTCTTTTTCTTTGAGAGCGTCACCAATTCGATATTTCAGGCTGAAGTGCACTCTTAAACTACGTCTTATCGTTCATACAGGACCCAAGTAAAATGTCATAAGAAAACGGTAGCCAATTGTAATCGATTTTTCTAGAGATAAGAGGTCATCTAAAAACTTTTCCCGCAAAGAGTTTGAAAGTAATCGTTGTCCTGACCATAACCACCAAACTCCGTCCACAAAAAACCATCGATCATTTGTCAATAGCGCCATTTATTTAATGTAAATGTGAAATGCTTGGAAATGTCCCATTCCAATAATAAACCTGGGCTTTCTCCAACACTGGCAGTCATAGTCTCAGATGTTCTTGAGCAACATACACCGTTTTCGTTGCAGGACGAAACAGTTAAAAAAAACTATTCCACAAAAGGAAAGATCGTTACCATGTCTGCTTATTTTGTTCATCTAGTTCCTTTTGCTCCAGTCGTTCATTTTTTGCCCTCTACAGTTCCTCTTTTTATCGCTTCCCATTCGTTCATTTATTTCTTGACGAATTAAATGAACTGGTTGAAATATATTTTTGCTTAAGAACTAAGTATGACAATATGACATAAACTATCTTAGACTAATGTGAGAGAGAGAGAGTGCTTGAATACATCTGCTCAAGGCCTTATTAATAGGCATCCAGAAGACCAGCTGCTTCTAAAGTTTGCTGTCAAAATCCATTATTATGAATAGATTTCCATTATGAAAACGAAAAAAGTCAATTTTGCGACATTAAAAATCAGAAAAACCAGCTGATTTTTGCTTGCTGGGTGACCTTATTAATATATCTTACAGCTGCCAATTGTTGTATATCGTTCCAAGTATGTATGTATTCTATGTGTAATATATACGTTTCCTATTAACTGCCTTCTTTAATGACAGATAAGTCTAAAGTTTGAGCATGACATAATACTCAACCATCTGTCTAATTTTTCCTTATAATATTTCACATGGTTGGCAACATTGCACACAGAATTCAAGTAGAAATAACGCACTTTGACAGTTAATCGAAGCATCAGCTGTGCTAAATCGAATACCTATTTATTGTGCCATGTGTTTAAAAATTTAATATATGACTTTAAAACCCAACTTTAAACCCCAAAATAAAAATTTATCAATAGGATTTTCCTGTGAAAATTTATTTTTTCGTCAACGTTTTTGAAACAAATTATGAAACAGTGATTTTATATGACATAAAAATTAAATCAATTTCTATGTTTAACGCATTGCTTGTTTCCAATGACAATTTAAATATATTCTCTCCTCCCTCTCTCCACTTGGTGACAAGTTTATTTTCTGAATCATTGAATTTGTTCATCCATACCTAGTGTGTTAATTGTAATTATTTAATTAGAAGTTAATTTTTAATAACTTTAACAAAATTAAATTCAATTGTTATTTTTAGAATTTTACCTAGTGATAATATTCCCTTTTTAGGTTCCCATAGCAATAATGATTATAATCTCTTTAATAATTGAATTGTTATTTTTTGTTGTTGTGTGAGTGTGTTGTCAATGACATTTATGAGACATGACATGCATGCAATATTGTTATTATTTAATAAGTTTGTTTTTTTTTTAATAATTGTTCTGCCGCAAGCAGACACACACGCTCACAACAAATTTGTGAATGTATGTGATTTTGTGAACACATTGACATATGTTTGTCACAAAACGCATTCAATAAGTCAATAAGTACCCCCCAGAACTCCTCCCGCCTAAATCTGAAAATGTTTGATATGAAAATGCCAATAATAAATTTACATTTGTTTATTGGCCTCTGTTCATATTTGGCAGTAACATCCAATTGGGGGGGTTGATGACGTGCATACTTTTCAGCTACCGTGCGTTAGGCAGCATACTCATTTGTTTTATATGACTCAAAGCGGAGTTCTATGGGGGTTTCCCATATGAAAATAGCAAATAATTGAAACAATTATTTTTTTCAATATTTATCTTATTAGCAATTACTAACGCAAACATTTTAATCTTTAAATGTCACACTTAAATTGTTTTGAATAATAAATTGTGTTAAGTTTAAGTGTTGTGTTGTTTAAATGTCCTGTTTACATTAAACGTTACAATTTTTAATATTGCATGTTGTGTGACAGTTACAGTTAGGAATACAAAAAATGTCATACTCTATAACAGGGCGAAATCAAACAGTGTTGTATTTGTCACCTCTGGAAAAAATACATAAAATGCTATACAAAGTTTACACAACCTGAATTTATGTTTGACATACATTTTTTCTTTTCATTTGAAATTATTTAAATAATGTGTAAAAGGTTTTTTTTACAAGTAATATATCTCTAAAAAACAAATATCAGCTGACTGAAATATTTATATAATGATAATACTTGTCTATAAGTGAGTTTAGATTTACGAACTCCACTCAATCTCAAAAGTCAAATCTAAAGCGTATACGTCAGGTATAAGGTTCCTCATTTACTCAATAATTTGTACAAATTATTACAAAATATTGTTCGTTTACCCAAAAGTCCAGTAAAAGAGAGTGAATCGAGAGAGCAGATTTGACAGTTGTGTTACTGAGGATTTGGAAATTCTTACAAGGAAAAATTTACTCAGAAAGAATTTTCTTGTACCATCAGGTTTAAGTCTAGAAATTAATTTGTTTCTATATGAAGGAGTTGCCAGATCGAATCAAAATTTAACATGTGTTCATAACAGAGATGGACGTTTCCAAATCACTTTACTTTTTTCTGTTTATACGTTTGAACTACCCTAATACTGTACAACTCGGTCATATGACAAGTAATTTTGAGAGATCAGCTGATTAAGAGTTTGGTTGTATGCAAGGATAACAGCTGCCTCTAAAGTTTGCTGTCAAAATCCATTAATTTGAATTGACTTCCATTATAAAAACGTAAACAAACTCCAAATTTTTGACATTGGACTTGAGAAAAAACAGCTGATTACCGCTAGCAGGGTGACCTTATTAATAGATCTGGGTTAAACATATTTTTAGTACAGATTAGGAGCTATATAAACGATAGCAAAAATGAAATACTTAAAGAAAGAGAACTAGGTGAACGAAAGAAGAAGAGCCGATCGTTCGTTCATCATTTGTTTTCTGTGCATGAGGTATATTTTTTAATTTATAAAAAACATGACTATTATTAAACTAATGCCTAAAAGTATGCTTTATTTTCAATTTGGTTTATTAAATTACTAATTCATTTTCACTAATTCATCTCTGTTGTTTTTTATTTTCTTTTCAGAAATGGCGCGTTTTCAAATCGGTTAGTGAACTCTTCATTTTGGTGCCCGCTCTCTTGGGTCTCAAAGGCAATTTGGACATGTGTCTGGCGTCACGCCTCTCAACTCAGGTGAATTTAGGCAATATGACATCGCGCAAGGAGATCATCCGGATGATTGTTGGCAACATTGCATTGGTGCAGGTGCAGGCCACTGTTGCATCATTTCTCGTTGCCATGTTTGCGATCGCTGTCGGTGCTGCCATGGATGGTAATTTCCAATTTGAACATGTTATGCTGCTGATAGCATCGGGCATGTTTACGGCAACATCATCGTGTTTTGTATTAGACTTTGTATTAGTGGCTGTGATATTATTATCTCAAAAGTATAAATTGAATCCGGATAATTTGGCGACACCGTTGGCGGCATCCATTGGGGATGTTGTGTCGATTAGTTTGTTATCATTTATTGCATCGTTGCTATTCGATCACATAAGTAAGTTGGAGAATGACATTTTTGATGTTGTTGTTACTAATTTTGTTGTTGTTTTCTTTATCCGTATTTCAGAAACCCATTTATGGATAACCTTTGTTGTGATCGCTTGCTATTTGATTTTACTGCCAATGTGGGTGACCGTTGTGCTTAAAAATAAATATACTCGCCCAGTGCTCAAGAGTGGTTGGGTACCGGTATTATCGGCTTTATGTATTAGTGGGTAAGTAAAACCAATTAATTTGTCAAAACAGGACTGACTAGTGGACTAAAATTATTATTTTCGAACTTGATTCATATTTTTTAATATTGACGCCTAGAAGTATGCTTTGATTTTTCGTATTAATATGTCATTGATCAATCACTAATCGATTTATCGTTTCCTTCTTCTTTTCCACTTACAGTTTGGGTGGTCTTGTTTTAGATGCTGCTGTTGATGTATTTAACGGTTTCGTGGTATTCCAACCCATTATTAATGGTATTGGTGGTAATCTGGTTTCAGTACAGGCTAGTAAAATATCAACCATGTTACATCAAAGTTCAATTATTGGTATTATACCGCCACATACGAAAGTCTTTGAATGGCCCTGGAAGGCACTATTCAAAGGAGGTAAGAGTTCAAAAAATCACAACAACAATAAACAAATATTAAATATAATGATTTCATTTTGTTTCTTGCAGTACCCTATGCTAAGACAGCTCGTTTGTTGATCATGATGTCAATTCCCGGTAACATTGTCTTCATATTTGCCGCAGATTACATTCACATGTCACAGTCGACAGTTACCGTCTACTTTGCCCTATCATATGTGGTGGCAAGTTTAATACAGGTAAAAATTTAAATTAAATTTCCTAAAAATAAACGAAACTAATGCATATTTTGTCATCCTTTTAGGTTATGCTCTTAATGTACATTGCCCACATTATTGTCCACGCGATGTGGAAATGGAAAATCGATCCCGATAATTCTTCAATTCCCTATTTGACCGCCTTGGGTGATTTGCTGGGTTCAAGTTTATTGGCCTTGGCATTCCTTTTCCTGCTTTCAATCAACAAAGAATATGGTGCCGGTTATGATGTACTGAATGCCTCAAATTAGTTGCTCCGTGACCCCCACACGCCAGAGCTAAAACCAACCACCACACTTACTCGCCGCCTATCCCTCCACCAACCAAAAACAACAAAAAACACTATTAATTCTTTCCAAGAATTTTAGCCATAGTGATGCATATATATTTACATATATATAAATTTAGTATAGTGTGTGTTCGTTATATAGAAAAGAGAACTATTGAACACAATACATTCTACTTCTTCCCCCCTCACTCAACAAATTGTATGTAGTTATGAGAAGGGTAAACGATGATGAGATAATAATATTAAGTATACAACTGAAAGAAGTTGAAAACAATAATTTGTAAATGGAAACGAAAACGATGTTTGAAAGAAGAAGACCAGTGCTTAGACTAGTTCATTCTCCAAAGTACCTTAATGGAAGTAAATTAAAATTAAAAGAAGAAAATAACAAAAAACAACTTTAGATTATTAATGTGTATTTTAATTTATTTTAAAAATGAAATATTAAGTAATTATTATTATTATGTATAATGTATGTATGTATCAAAGTATCAGTGAAAAAAAAACTTAATATCAAGTATAAACCAAGTATCGACTCCCTGTATCCTGCCTTCCCTCCCTCTAAATTACTATATTTCCTCGATATTACCCTATTACCCATTCCTATATGTCCCATGTCCCTACGTTACCTAAATAATAAATATGTATGTTTATTTAAATTAGGAAATTTAATTTGATAAACCAAAAAAACAGGAAACAAAAGCAAAATTTAAGAAAAAAAGATACAATAAAAATTCAAAATTGTTCCATAAAATTGATTGTAGTTTTCTTTTTAAAAAAATAATATTAAGGCGTGAAAAGAATCATAAGGCGTGGATTTTTAAAATAACTTCTTAAGGGCCCACCAAAATCATAAGGCCCACCAAAATCATAAGGCGTGGATTTTTAAAATAACTTCTTAAGGGCCCACCAAAATCATAAGGCGTGGATTTTTAAAATAACTTCTTAAGGGCCACCAAAATCATAAGGCGTGGATTTTTAAAATAAATTCTTAAGGACCCACTAAAATCAAAAGGCGTGGACTTTTAAAATAACTTCTTAAGGGCCACCAAAATCATAAGGCGTGGATTTTTAATATAACTTCTTAAGGGCCACCAAAATCATAAGGCGTGGATTTTTAAAATAACTTCTTAAGGGCCACCAAAATCATAAGGCGTGGATTTTTAAAATAACTTCTTAAGATGTAGAAGTCATTTAGTTCGCTATTAAAGATTGTTGGCATTGATAATGGATATTTTTTCAATATAGACTCATTTTCGGTTCCCTGTTGGGCACAAAACCATCTTCACATCTAAATCTCTCGTCTAATTTTAGGTATTTTGACTACCAACATTATTTCGAAGTATCTGTAATTTGCCTTCCTATTCCTTGGAAGATACATAAAATCAATCAGCAGTTTTTGTCATTAGTTTTAGGTAACTAAGCCACAATTTTTATAAATTTGTATTTATTACAATTTTTATAATTTTAGGTATTTTGACTACCAACATTATTTCGAAGTATCTGTAATTTGCCTTCCTATTCCTTGGAAGATACATAAAATCAATCAGCAGTTTTTGTCATGATTTTAGGTAACTAAAAATTTTTATAAATTTGTATTTAAAAAAATTTTTATAATTTTAGGTATTTTGACTACCAACATTATTTCGAAGTATCTGTCATTTGCCTTCCTATTCCTTGGAAGATACATAAAATCAATCAGCAGTTTTTGTCATTAGTTTTAGGTAACTAAGCCACAATTTTTATAAATTTGTATTTATTTTCCATATTCGAATATTTGGTTTTCGAAGAGAATAACCAAACTTCCGGCTGATAATTGAGAATTTTTGAATGAATGTCCATGGTCCATGTTTTGTATATATAGGTCCATGTTTTGAAGTAGCTTCCATATAAACGTACCGACATTTTCAAAGAAAATTTTCATTATTGGATTATATCTTGACGTCGCTTTCATACAAGGGTCCGCCCCATTTTTGGTCTTAGACAAATGTGGCAAAATGAGTGCCAGTAATTTTGCATTACTGTTTCTCTGGAAGATACATAATATCAAGCAGCACTTTTTTGTCATTAGTTTTAGCTAACTAAGCCACAATTTTTGTAAATTTTTATTTATATTCGAATATTGTTCGATACGTTCACATCGCATTATTTTGTTGTATAACACAAAAACTACATTATTTCCCATACCAAATGGCGCAAGTTTCATTAAAATACCTCAATCCGTTGCTGAGATATAGCCGTTTACATTTTTCCTTCCGACCAAATATAGCTGCTACTGAAGTCTGTTTGCCTAATACCTCATTTGTTCACCGCAAAGCATTTTTGTAAATTCGATTTGCCCTTCAATCAACATGCCATGCCATATTACCATATTTTTGTTCGAAACAAAATCATTCAGTTTAGAAATATTAAAAAGTAAAGCATACTTTTAGGCGCTAAAATGTCACCAGCCTTATTAAATGAAAGAACAAACTGCATTTATTGCTATATCTTATTGGTGTTTTTTTTGTATCCCCTTAAGAAGTTTCAGTACTTGTCCAAAATCTCCACAACGACAAGCCCCCACAACCGCTGACATTTACCAAATTGGGTTCTCAGTATGTAAAGAACTAGTGTGGAGGCAATGGATTAAGAATTAGATGTTTTGGTGCAACCATTGTATTGTATTGGGTAATTTATTTTGAAGAAAACTCTATTAATTCATATATTGGTGTAGCTTATATAAAATTCGATTATAATTACAAATTAAAACCACATATAAATCTTTAAGTAGCTATTTCACTCTCATGACGAACAGTGTAAAACCCCGCATTGAATACTTATTATCGGGTATTTTACCTTTTCCCCCATTCGTTAGGCAGTGGAACGTTTTTTAATTCGGCAGATTCGAATGTGGCGCTAGATGACTGAAGGCGGCAGTCTATGGTGGAATACAGTTTAAATTAAATTTGAGAATTAAAAAGAAAAATTATCTGGATAAACATTAAATAAAGTACATTTGTTTAGAAAAATTTTCATTTCCAGACATGCAAAGACCAAGACGTACTTCAGAGTTCCACGAGGAACCTGGTGGCATACGACGCCAATCAAGGTATGTACTATATGCAGCTTTATTTTATTTCATGGAATCTAACCACTTTGGTTTTTATCTAGGGCCCAACAAAGGAGCATTGCTCCATCCCCTTCGACAGCCTCAAAATTTACCACACGGTAAGAATCAAAGGATCACATGCGCATAGTTTCATAGGGGCAAGTAGTATCCAATGTGTAGCAATGATTTCCTTTCCACTGAAGCTATGCGCCTGTGTTAATCCCGTTGCATTTAATTCTCTCATATATTAATGCTATAAACATGTATACTCTTCCAGGCAAAGTCGTATTGCTGTTGCAACACGTTCCAGTTCAACAGATCGAGCAGCAGCCAACTCGGGTAATAATGCATTTCTTACTGTTCCAGGTAGTGTTACAGGTCGTAATTCGACAACGACCACACCTATGTCAACGGCAAAGATAACAAGTAATCGTGTCCTTTTCACTGCCGAGAAACATCGTGGCGGTGCAGCCAGTGCCTCCAATGGCGGGGCATTACACAACGATAAGAAATGGGTGCAGGAGCAGACTCAACGTATCACCGAATATTTATTAAATCAGAATACAATTGGTGGCATTAGCACCGACTTTCTTCAGAAGGGCCTACGACAAATGTCCATTAAGCAATTTGTGGCTATTGTCAACTTCTTTCTCAATCACATTTGGGGTAAACGTTATGTTGTCGGTGCTAATCATGTCGAGGATATTATACAAATATTACAGAAGCTGCAATATCCTCATCCCGTCAATAAGTCATGGCTGAAAACACCAAATACCCAACATTCTTTTGGCAATGTCATCGTATTGCTTGATTTTTTAATGGATTTTGTGCCGCCCTATGTGGATGACGATGTTGTGCCACAGGTGGTTGATTACTTCGAACTGCAGGAACCTCACGAAATAATGAATGGATCCCGCATGGCTGAGGATATATTTCAGAGTCCAGATTTGGAATTTCAACGTGAGCTGCTAATGAACACCGAGGAAGGATTTACACTTTGGGATACTCAAATGAATGATGAGTTCCACAGCTTGCAACAGGAAACCTGTAATCTTCTGATAAAGAAGACCTGTAATTTTGCGGATGCAGCTGCAATTCAAGCAGAATGTGATAAATTAAAAAACCAATTGAAATCACTGGAAGATTTGAAACCCAAAGAGGATAAGGAATTGATTCATCTGGAAGCTAAATTAACAGATGAATTTGATTTCCTAAGTAACGACATGGAACAGTTGAAAGAAGATTTCCACAATAAGAGACGCATTCAACAACAGCTAACCAGAGAGAAAGCCGATGTACTCAACGAAGTGGAAAATATGGAAAAAGAAGTTAACGATCTGCAAAAGCTCATAACCCAGCAAGTTTGCACGGTGGAACAAAGAAATCAGCTGATGACAGATCAAAAGCATTTGGAACACTTACTGAGCATAGAGGAGCGTACATTGCGTGAATTGGAGTCACGCAATCACAACCAACAGGTTCTCTATGCAAGAGTCCTCAAGCAATTCACCGATGGCGTGGACTCCTTTAATGCATTTATGCGAGAAATTGTCTTCTCCGATATACCAGGTATGAAGAAAATCTCCTCCGAGGAACTACAACTTCCCCTACGTCCCGACGAGGAACAACTTCAAAAACGTATTCCACATTTGTTGGAAATCAAAGAAGCCATCCAAAAAGCGATACAAGAAAAGAAAAAACAAGCCACCGAAATACAAATTCGAGCAATGGATATAACCGATGAAGTCGATACTCAGTTGGAAACCAAATTCAATGCTCTGCGCCATCGTGTGGCCCAGTCAAGAGATAAATTTGAGAAATTATGTTTGAAAATGAAAGAACATGCTGCCAATCTGAATATGAAAGCTCTAGAATTACAAAATCAAGTTGTTACCACGGATAAAAATATTGAACAGCTACAAGCTACCATTGATCAGAAACGTAGTGAAATTGAAATGATGAAAGAGAAGAATGAAGAAACCATGAAAGATGCCGAAGATCGTCATGCCCGATATTTAGAACAAAGGAGGGCACTTATAAAAGCCTACGATGATATGCAATCGGCTAGTGGTGATGCTTTGAAAAAGTTGGCCGAAAAAGTTGCAGAGCAAGAAAAACAACTGGAAGTACTTCGAAAGGAATTTCAAACAGAAGAACCGTTGAATGAGAATGAATGATTTCAGAGTTTTTTTGTTGTTAATTGCCATAAACAAATATCTTTTAATTTATTAATGTTTTTTATCTTTAGATATTATATATGTATATGTTTTATTGAATCTTCATATTTATTTCTATAATTTAATTCTTTAATAAAACTCAATTTTAAATATATTCTCCTCTTAATCAGGAATACGTCATGGATGTGACTTGTGGGCATTATTTTTCACTAAAACAATACTACCATCTCCTAAAAGTATGCTTTAAGTGTTAATGCTATAATAAAATCAATTAAGCGTGAAGTACCCGATTGTAACCATCACTAAAATGTTGAAGCATAGTTCTGGTCATGGAAATGTCCTAAAATATAAGTTGGAAACCGCTTGTTTAAACACAGACGTGGATGTCAAAACTAGGAAATGAAAACGGGTCATATTTAAGGTATATTGAATTCTCGAGATAAATTTTTCACATTCAGTGAAGTAGAAGTAATTATCTCTAATCCTGTTGAACAGTTGTTGGGGTTCCATAACAAAATTCTTGAAATATCAGTTTCACAATTAATAATCTCAGATATTTGGAACATATTTATACAAATATTACAGAAGCTGCAATATCCCCATCCCGTCAATAAGTCATGGCTGGAAACACCAATTGTTTTGATTTTTAATGGATTTTGCGCCGACCTATGTGGACGATGTTGTGCTACAGGTGTGCAACAGCTTTGCAAAAAAATAACTTTCAATCTGTTCGCAATATAACGCGAAAATCCTCTCTTCACGCATATATATTTACGACGTAGGAGTGGACATTTCAATTCGTTTTTATAATTTATCGATATATACATATGTATATAGTCGTCATATTTCGGTATTAAAATTTGATCTGGCTGAATTTAACGATTACTGGAAAGTCCCTCTTTTGACGTGAAGTTAAAGTTCACTGGATTTTCGGATACTAAAAAAAAAAATCAAAATTTTTCTTCCTGTTTTCAAATCATGTGTATGATATTTGACATTTACGCTCAGATCTCTTTTTGGGCCGTATGCTGAGAGCTTAGAGCGGTACCTCGGCTACAGATGCCAATAATGACGACAGGACGGGAAAACATACGAGGATTAAGGCCTGGCATTTTAAGTTGGCTTTGTATAAAATGTCAATTTATAAAGGCATATCAAAGTCAAACTTTAGAATAAAAGAAGCCAAAGTAACATACTAATCCTGAAGTCCTCTTATGTGTTTCCCCCGTTAGGCTTTGCACCGTTACTTTATTCTTCTTCGTACTTTCCGTGTTTTGTTTTAGTGAAACACCCTCGTTGCCAGTTTTGGTTAGCGGATGGGTCATGGTACTATCCCATTACCTCCATGATTGACTGATTGTAATAGATTAGTATGATCATCCACCGGGGGATGCCCCCAATAAGAGACAGACAAATTCCACCTGATGCGTTTAGAAGTTAAAATTAGGAAGCGGTTGGATTATAAGCGTTATCTTACTAAAGGGGGAACATATAAGAGGACTTCAGAATTGGCATGTTAGGTTCGCTACAAAGCCAACTTAACATGCCAGGCCAAAATCCTCGTATGCGTTTGACCCTTAATACGCTTCCAGCATAAATACATGAATTTTAACATACTTACTTCCTTAACTGGCTTGTGACAGAACTTTCGTTCCATAAGCCGAAATCTTTAAATAAGATTTCCAAGCTCGTCGGTCTTTTGCGCAGTTTTTCCAGTTTGAAAGATCATATTCGGCAATGTTCTTCTCCACTTGATCTTTCCATCTTATTCGTGAACTCCCCCTTCTGCGTGAACCATCAGCTAGTTCGCTTTTATATGCCGTTTGGGCTTGGTCATCTTCATCCATTCTTACAGCATGACTTAACCAACGTAGTCGCTGCCGCTCAATACGTCTAACAATGCCGATGTCCGAAAATAGCTGGTACAGCTCATGGTTCATTCGACGGCGATATTCACCGTAAAAGCAGATCGGCCCATAGAATTTTTCTCTCAAACACTCCAAGAGCTGCCTCATCTGCCCATGCTTCAGATCCATATAACAGCACGGGTAGTAGAGTGTGTGTGTGAATTTTAACATACCTTCTAAAATTGTTGATGTGTTCACTTGAATTTTTATTACACATTTCAGCTACGGAGAATTCAATTTCCTTTTATCCTTTTTTGAAAAGCTCTTTTGACTTCGGCATACAAGACAAGAACAATAAGGTCTATTCCAATTGGTCCCGAAGCATTACATATTTTCCCCAGTGAAATCATAAAAGCGACAACATTTTAAAATAATTGTTTTTAGGCAAAAAACTCTGTATTGGCATCATTTTTATAACGGATTATTGTTGATTTGTTTTGGTTCAATAGTGATGGCACTTGCCTAGTTAAAGTACTCCTCACAGGGATGACAAATCAAATAAATGTAGAAATAAACCTAATTAATAATAAAATTCAATAATAATTAAATTAAAAATATTAATTAATATATAATATATACATCAATTTAAAATAATATTAAAACAAATATAAGGTTTGTGAAATTTCAAAAACTATTACACAAAAATGTACAAAGTACCAAACGTTTGTGCCAATACTGAGTCGTTGTTGTTGTACCCTTTTTTGCAGCAATGGATTGACGACGTTGCCGCGAACACTGCTCGTCGTTATTCAGTGTTAGGTTTTTGTAATTTAAAGACATATCTCTCTACACATAAGAACAATAATATTTTAACTAATTTTAAATGTAAGTGGAAAAGAAAATTGCAATTGGGAAGAAGGAAAAAACACAAAAAGAACACAAAGAAAACTTTATTAATAGATACATCCTTGAGTTTTGTTCCCTTTCTTCCGATCGTGGAAAAACAATTTTAATTCGATCTCTGCTTGTTGGGGGCAGAGTCTCAATAACGGATATTTGTTTGTGGATAGTTTTTGTTGTTGTGTTCCTCTTTCTAATACGCTGGCTGGCAGACAATTGTGAAATCGAAGTGAGAAAGAAAATAAGACCTTGAAATGCAAATAACCAAATAAGGTGCCATCGTCGTCGTCGGGGCCATCTTATTTTGAGCAAAGGAATGAAAAACGAACCTTGTTTTTTCTAGAGAAATGAGAAGTACCGTCTTGGAATACCTACCTATCAACAAAGTATTGCAGATATTTCGCTATTTGCCTTTTTTGGGCAGAGACGTACAGTTGTGTTTTTTCGGCTTGGGAATAGAATGACTAGAATTACTAATAAAATCTTTTTTAATATTTAATTTCAGATTTCAATTTGTATGTTTTAGTACCAAACAGCCTGCCTGTACATTCGTTTTGACCGGAAAAACCCCATAGACCATCATCGTCTGTCATTAGCCCGATTTATTTATTCGCCCACTCGAACAACAAACACAGAAAAAACATGCAACAACGTCAATTTACTTCGGGTAGCCGCCAGGCTCCCGATCCATACGATCAATTTTTGGAAGAACATCAATATTATCGCAAGCATACGGCACGGGATGCCTCTTGCTTGTTTCGTGTCATATCGGAACAGATGTACGATACCCAATTGCATCATTTGGCCATACGCGAGAAATGTGTAAACTATATGCGGAAACACCGTAAGTTCTTTCAGAATCTTGTCGATCGAGATTTTGATGAATATCTGGATGATATGTCGAAACCGAAAACGTATGGAACATTATTGGAGCTGCAGGCAGCTGGTTATTTGTTTGAGTAAGTAGCTTAATATAAAGTGATTTGTTTAAAAAAGGATTTAAATGGTTTTTGAAAAGCCTTTAAGGATGTAATTCACATCAAAAGGTGTGAACACTTTTGGGTTCAAAATATTGTTAAGGGACGCAACTCGGAAACAAGTAATGGAAGCAAGCCAAACGTGACTAGCGTTTTGAGGGAACAAGTCTAGTTTAGGGCCCCCTCCCGGATCGTTTTGAAATTTTTAACACATGTAGTCCTTGGGGCCTTGATTATAACATTATATTTTTTTCTTGTGGAAATCATATACTTAACCTTTAAAATGATATATTGGCCTATTACACATGTTTTACCGAAATTGGGAGACCCATATCTCAGAAAGTATGGACATATTTGATATAAATATAAATTTTTTTGTAATATGGATATCATTTTAAAGCATTTGATATTGCCTTGATTTTAAAAAAATATAATATCAAATAAGAACTTTGGAGGCACATACCTCCGGAAATACCGAGGACTATATGTGGTATATAGGCCCCAAGGACTATATGTGGTAAAAATTTCAAAACGTTCTGTGAGGGGCCCTAAACTAGACTTAAGTCGCGTACTTAATTAAGTCTACCTACAACTATGCGAGCTAAATTTCGTGAAAATCGGTTCACAATGGTTGAAATTTTATACGTAGATAGATTTCAATATTATTTAAGGTTATTTAAGGTATTTTTCATATTTTAGTTATTTCAAGATGCCGACATGACAGATGGTACATATTTTTGATCAGAATAAAAATCGATGTCGATTGACGTATATATATATATATATATATATTAGGTATTTTTGTGATGTTTGGGCACGATTCTCAACAAACTTGGCTGTAATTTGGTATTTTGGGTTCTCATTGTATAGCACATCTCCGTACTAAAAATTTGTATTTTGGGTTCTAATCTTTGTACTAAAAAGTAATAATATTGACCCAAGCTGAGGGTATGTATTTTGGCAATGTAAATCATATTTTTCTGACGTCTTTTTCAGTATATTCAGGTCCTATCATTACATTTTTGGACCCCATGTTTCTAAACATAAATCAAGTTCAAAGATGGAGAATATAAATGAATAAAAATTGTGCAGAAAATTAATTGTATTAAACTAAACTAAAAACTAATTATATTAGATGGGACACACCTTCTCCAAAAAGGGTTAAAATTAAAAAAAAAAAATTGTAAATCTCCTATGAATCAAATAAAACAATAAATTTCATCAAAACACCACAAAGTACAATATTCTGTATATGTGTAAATCATATATGAAACGA